ATTTTACTAAAATCAATTAAATCAATTACATTCTTGTTTTTTTTTTTTGTTTTTTTTTTTTGTTTTTTTTTTTAATATAAAGTCAGAAAAGAACCTACTCGTACATACGGATATCAGATTTGAATTTTATACGGTTTTGTTTGCATTATCATTAATTACTTTTGAAACCTTAAACGACAACTGCCGGGAGGAAATTACACCAAAATCAATTATTGTGGTATATCTAGATCTATCTATAGGCAGTACGGTAATATTTGAAAAATTACTACTCTAATCTTTCTGACAAATTCACCTGTAGTCTACACAAGCCGCATGAGTCATTGCAATTTTTAAGATAAATATATATTATGGATATCATGTTTCAAAGCAAATCAAAGACTCATTAGCAGTTAGGCTATTTTACAAAGCGCATGTACTGGGGGTAATTTGGCGTTTGAATTAAAAAAATCATTTTAACACTTGCATTATGTTTGATACCCTTCTCTAGATGTATCTAGGAGTAGAGTATTAAAATGAGAACTGGATTGACCGGGAACGCGAAGGTTAAGTGGAGGAGCGCGAATGTTAAGTGAAGGGGCTCGATTATCATTGTGGTTCTGTTGTCTTATAAAATATATATCTTATGAGTTCGAATCCCGGTTTGGGCACCTATTTTTCACACTCGCAGATTCCTCTTCTTTAACGTTTAAACAATTACTCATATTTACAGCTTTACCGCAAGACGATTTAGAGTTTATCTCTATCATATTATTATTTATCTATAAAAAAAAACATCTCTTCGAAAATCTCAGACCTTCTTGTCGTCAATTGAGGTTTTGTCTTTATAATGATGAATTGGATGTAGGCCTAATTGCATAGATTTATTTTTTTCTGTCTAAAATTAGTACGTTTTGTTTGATACTTAAAAAATATAACTTTCTTTTCCAATACCTTAAATTTATTAACATATATAGAAAGTGCATCTCGGAGGTCGTTCATATCCGCAGATCGACATTCAGGTGTCAGTATTATCACAGTCTTCGCGGTCGATACGATAATGAATCGACTGAATAACTTCCTCGTCTTAACCAAATTATATCTTGCTAAGTCTTCGAAAGAGAAAGCATATAAAAATGATGGAATAGTTTGTAACTGGTTTCAGCTTTAAAGATTAAAACGGAACAGAAGAGAAAATCAAAAAGAAAAATATATATTGTTTCCAAATGATCGATGAGACAATAAACTAATAAACTTCAAAAATATGACAATACTTTTGATAACGATCATATCAGGCAATGCCTGAATACTTTATTAAGCCTAGCCATTGCTATGCCACCGTCGGTGTACAGAGATTACATATAGACAATCTTATTTATACTAAGTGAAATTTGTTACACTCAATCTATACGTAATTAAAACTACTAGATCATGAATAAAAACAAATGTACAAACGAACTCAACAAACAACTCTACCATGTTAATTTAAATTTATCATTCTGATTTCACTTCATTCCGTTTAGGGTTTTACATTGGTTTTTTATTCATGATCTTGTTATTTACAACTTTATGCGGTTGAACTACGTATAGATTGAAGTGTCACAAACTTCACTTCGTATAAATAAGATTGCCTATGGAATCTCTGTACACCGATTGTGACAGTGGGATCTGTCGAAACATGGTATGTAGTGTAGTGCCTAGCAATGGCTAGGCCTAATAAAGTATTCAGGCATTGCCTGATATGATCGTTATCAAAAGTATTGTCATATTTTTGAATTTAATTTATACATTATACAAACAGATCTACACTTCTAATTTGTTATTCCGAGAGGTTTACTTGCTTAACAACGATATATTATCATATACTACTGCCTGTTACCTATTTGACCTATTATTTATTTAAAAAAAACAACACCATAATTCGTAGTCTATATTATTAAAATTGAGTTATTAAATATATCTGTATCACTTTCGATTAATGTAATAGAGCCGAGTATATTTATTAAATAGGCCAATGTCATTCATTATCTCAAAGGCATCAATATTCCTTTTCAGCGTCATAATTCACGATTATAGCTAGCATTTGCGGTTTGTGTTATGGTTAAGTACCTTGTACTTACACTATTGTCGGCATTATTGTACAGACGAAAGTGTGTAAATCGCGAGTAATTGCATTTTCAATTTCACTTTTATATTAATTTATCAGCAATGATTATATTTGGTTTAAGTGTTGTCTTGTGTTTTAGCTTCATACACATTGTTAGTATTATTATTATTATTATTATTATTATTATTATTGTTATTATTATTATTATCATTATTTAATATTATTATTATGTATATTACAGTATTTTTATTATTATTGTAATTATTATTACAGATATTATTATCAATTTTTATTATTAGGGGCCTATTGGACATACAAAATAACAATAATTGTTATTATTGTTAGCATTATTATTATTATTATTATTATTATTATTATTATTATTATTATTATTATTATTATTATTGAGGAGAAGAAGGAGGAGGATGGCTGAGTGGTTAATGTAGAAGTGCTGCAGCTTACAGCCATAATTAACTGTTTTTATGCAGAAGGCCAAGGATTGCCAAGCAGTGAAATTAATCACTACCGGTATTCCAAGTGCCATTATCCCTTCATAAGACAAACATAAACACAAGATGATCTACATAAACTAAGTCTCATTATGAGGATTAGAGAGTTGAGTTGTTTTGGTCGTGATAAAAAATCCTGTTACCGTGACGGCATTTGAACCCGGGCCTGGGATTGGAAGGCAAGTATCTTAACAACCAAGCTGTTTAATTCCACTCGATTCTCGGCGCTGGTTCGAACGCTTAAACCGTCGGATAAAGACTATAAACCCAATTTGGCACATGTACACTTTAAAGAACCCAATACATCTTTCGGGACGAGCAGGGGGTTACTCCGGTGTGATGGTCCATTAAGCCCCTGCTGTGGACAGACGAGAGTAGCTGTAGTTTACCGGGTAGCTCAGACACCCAAAGACTCTTAGGCTTTGCTTCTTCTTCAACGTGCAATCGTTGATAAACTGAAATTTAGGGGAGAAGCAAGTTACTGTAAGAGCCAGTCCACGCCTCGAGCGCTTTCAGACCGTTTCGGTATAAAGCAGTATCTAACTACATTATTATTAAGAGCAGCGGCTACAGCAACAGCATTGCAGTAGATATGTGTTGTTTGATGTGAAAGGAATGAAATGAGAGAACAAATTTTGCTTAGTCTAGTCAATACTAGAATTACCTGTTTGAATTACTAGCATGAAATCATGTGTAATTTGCTTCCTCCAATAATTTGATTACTGTCTGAAAATCAAGTTTGCAAATGTAATAGTTTATTGCCTCAATATTATACGACTTAAGGAAGTAAATATAAACTTTTTTTTCCATGTGACGTAATTTAAGGATTTTGTCGAAACAGCACTTACAGAAAAATAATGTATTCGTTGAAAATGCTCACTCAAACAAATATAACGTTACTCTCTGTTAGTGTACATTTTTTTTTGTTTTAAAGCAAAAGTGTTATAAAAGTAATGATTACATTACAAGTTCATCATGATTTTACCATATGTTAGAATTAATGGATTAATGTACGTAAAAGAAAGACAAAGTAACGCCAGATTTTCATAAAATCGCTACGCTGCCACTTACAGTATTTTCTGTAAAGCCGGATAATAACTGCGCCCGACGGTCGCCGGTCAACACGATTCTAGGGAGAAAGGAACGCCTCGACATTCTTTATTATAATTATCATTAATATTATTACTCTCCTTATCTATATTACAATTACGCTTATTTCAAAGCCTAAAATTGCAAGAGAAAATCGAGGGCCTCAATAAACGTCTGGGATTCGGAACCTACCGGTCAGAAAAACTTCGATAACATGGAATCATCAAAGTCTCGATCGCCCGAATGAATATCAATCCATATTTCAGGTTAATTGTGGGAAAAATAATGACATTTTTTCACTGGACAACATGTCTTTCACTGGACCTTGTTTAAGTATTGCTGCATTCCGTAGCGGTGTCTCAGTTCGTTTTGCGGTGTTATATGGAACGCCAAAGAATCAACATTTAACGTACAGTTTTGTGGTTTCATGTGCAACGCCAAAACTTTCAAATACAGTCAATTTTTAAGCACACTCGGTTTTCAGGGACACTCGGTTAACAAACACAGTCGATTTTCGTCAAGCACAGTCAGTTTTCGGGTTCTCAATGTGTTTAGTAAAACTTTGCTTTAGCAAAATATATGTTAGCCTATATTGTAGGACATCTATTGCAAATCATGTTAATTTTAATTTAAGTGTAAACTAAAACGTTTTCCAAAAAAAATTATGGAGAGAATACAAGATATTTCCCCATACCAATTAACACTATTGCTGCTTTACCTCATTTTAGTGGTTTCTAAATATCTGTTTGTTATGAAAAATGATATGGAACTGTTATCAAAATCATGCAACTTATTTTCTTTTAGTGGTCATATTGTTAGTTTAAGGAGTAGCTGGCTCATCTTGAGTTATAGTAATGTAATTTGCTTAAGCTACCTCTGTCCAGCATTTCAATTGTTGTTTTTGTCACATATTATATTTTATTGTACCTGCAATTGTAAATGTTGGTTAATTAAATAAATGAAATGAAATGAAATTATTTTTATCGAAACTAGTCGCGACGTTCACATACCAGAGGGTAAGCGCGCGAAGCGAGCGCACCCTCTAGTTATTATAAACAGTATTTATGTCATCATCATTATAATTAGAAATGTTATCATAATTACTTCGATTACTATTTTAAAAAAGGCTATTATCATTATTTTAATTATAAATGTAATTATATTATTATTATTATTATTATTATTATTATTATTATTATTATTATTATTACTATCATCATTATCATCACCATCATTATTATTAGGTTAAAATGAGTATTGTTATAAAGGTAGCACAGGTATGATTGGCAACAATTAAAATATCATATCGTAATATCTCAGACTCTTTCATGTGCCGAAGTTTATTGTTTCTTTGTCCAAAATATACATTTAGCTAATAGAGTGAAACTTTTAAACAGAGTATCATCGTTTCAACAAATTAATTTTCACGACCCAGTAGCAAAATTGCTGAATTTACTGTAGATCATTAAACTGGTAAGGTTAAACTAGTAAGCATTAGCCGACTAAACTAGTAGTAACTATAGAGAGACCGTTAACCTAGTAACCAGCTGTGTTGATATAACTTTTCAATACATTATTTTAGCTCATATACAGTATAGATCATTTACTAACTGTTTAAAGGTATAATAAAATTACTGTATATAATAAATCATATCATAAAAATACATAATATAATCGTATTATAACTTTATTATATACAAACATCTTATTATGGTAATCTTAAACGTATTAGTACATCAAATTAAGTAAGTCATACCATTTTTTAAAGAAAATGATGACAATAATAAAGATAATATTAATAATATTGATAATAGTAATAATAATAGACCTAATATTAATAATAATATTAATAATAATAATAATAATAATAATAATAATAATAATAATAATAATAATAATAATAATAATAATAATAATAATAATAATATACAGTAACTATATTCATGGACGGTGGTATTACCATCTATGATTCGCATTGCTAACACTTTTTTTTTATCAGTCAACGAGTGAACACATGGGACGGAGCGTTTCACATTAGTAGATAAGAAAGGCGAACTTTTGGATTTCCCTGCAACATCTGTCATCGTAACCTTCCAGCGACGGACTTCGCAAGATGTTGAGACATAAACGTATATCATAGAGAGTCGAAATAAAGCTGTCCTTAGTGCAGAAATAGTATTTGAGCCTAATTGATAGTATATATAGAAGAGGAATCTGCGAGGATTTGAACCTGGGACCTTCTGCTGTCTCATGTATAAAGCATTACCACAAGACGATTTAGAGTTTATCTCTTCACGCGTTACATTATATATTACATGCATACTCGTTATTACTTAGGACTCAAACATGCACGACAAACCGTATCTATACATGATAGTAGAACACTCCGTGTGTATCTGTTTACATTGGGCCTATAGGCCTACTGGTTTCTTTTGTGGCTGTAGCTGCAGCTGGTCGCTCGAATCGCATTCCACAGTCTTGGGTACAAATCCTTCACACACCAAATTTGAATATCTCTTCTTACGAAGTCTGACAAATGAGTCTTAACGCAATATTCTGCTCCACTTTGCATCATAGGTCTAATCAAGAGGCAGAGATGGACCTACTTTTGACATTGAAAAGAGAAAACTACGATATCATTACCCAGACTACTGTTACATAAATACTTGTCAGATCAATAATGAGGAATCATGCGTAATTCGCATCAATTAGTTTAAGCACTCTAGTTTTAAATTAATTGAATTTACAATGCAGTTTATTACCACGTACAGTAATGCACCTTTTAAAGAAGTAAAATATATTCATATTTATTTTAACTGGTTTATTAGAATTTTAATACTGAGACTCAAGATTTAAGCAACTTTATTGTCTGTAATACATAATAAAATATAAACAGAACATTAAATTACTCGACAAGATTTAAAAGTTACATCATCATACAATAAAAGTGACGTCATTTGTTAAATTTAGTAAACCAAAAGCTACTCTCAGTTCATGAGAAGAAATTCTATTTTTTTACATTAATAATTTTGTTACATTTTACTCCTATTTTGGAAAAGCCCCATAGTGTCGCCTTTTGTGTTAAAAAATTCAAATTTATTGTTACAAAAATTATGATGATGATAATTTCTTCTTAATTCCACCAATAAGGCTAATTTTGGTTTGGCAAACTAAATGAGAGATGGCTAAAGTTGTTGGAATAGGTTCATGATGTCTCTAATACAGTATATTACGATGATTCATTGGCTTAACTACAATAGCATGTTACAATGATACGATTGCAAATACATAAAACAAAAAATATACATATTTATAGATTTTTATATACAGATTTGTTATTCTTTAAAAAGCAATTTTACAAGATGACCGCATAATTATCTAATCAATTAAATGAATTTAAGCGTAAATTTGGTTTAAAGAAAGTGTCATATTCCAGCATTTAACCGATCAGTTCTTTGAATAATTCAATTTCAGAAGAGAACTAGTAACGCATTCACACTATCTTGATTGGACACTTCGATCGATTGATGTTGTGACGTCATGCCTTGCGCGTGTCTTGATCTGAAAGAAACGTATATACAAATTTCTTAATACCAAGTTATAAATCAAACTGCTTATGGGTTTTGTAAAATTTGAAGATTAGCTACCTTAGGGAGAATGCATTTATACGGAAGTCAATGACTGAAAAATATTAAAGCAAAAACTCAAAATAGATATCGCATTAGTAAAAGATAAATGGGTGGATAACAACAGAAAGAATCAAGATATATAAGTATTACAACCATGGAAATACAAAGAATTAAATAACGAATAACATGTATAAAATAATACGACAGAAAAAGGCATAGAATGTGTTGAGCTAAACACAATGAATTTAATATTTTGATTGTTTTATATACATCATCATCATCATGTGCCATGTTCGATACGAAGGTTGGCCACCATGTCTTTCCATCTAATACGATATTCTGCTCCATGTAGATGTTGTTGAGAACCATCTCTTGATGTCATCACTCCATTTGGTTCTTTGTCTTCCTCTAGTTCTCGAGCCCTCAATTGTCCCTTCTAGAAGTGTGTTTGCTAGGTTCCTTGCACTGCCTCGGAGAATATGACCTGCATAGCACATTTTCCGTTGCATGAAATCACGTAATAGCGTTCTCTGCAATCCAGCTCTTTGCAGCACAACGATGTTAGATGTTCTTTCTATCCAACTGATTCTCATTATTCTCCTAAGACACCACATCTCAAATGCTTGAAGTCTCTTCCTGATGGAGTTCGTAAAATTCTAAGATTCACAACCAAATCAACTACAGAAAACACATAACATCTCAGGAGTCTAATCTTCAACCCTATGTTTTCTATTAGATAAGCTTTAATCTTTTAATTGAAAATTACAAAAAAAAAAAAAAAAAAAAATAACAGATGCGTTAACTTTATCATTTTTCTATTTCATTAGCTCTGAAAGTTGCTGGTAATCAATATTTTAAAGACTTTAATTATAAAAGCTATGTAAATCGACAGAAACTAAATAACTATTTCTGGATTGTTAATCAAACTCAACATCTAGCCAATCAGAAGAGAGCCAGGAATGCAAGCATATCTCACAATCACTTGTGTTGTCTCACAAAACATTACTGCCGTTTTGTGGGATCCTATCAACGAAATCCAAGGTCCATTATTAATTGTGTTTCACTGGAAGATGATTATTTACTGTATTTTACTCCGTTTAATGAACAATTTAATAATTCAATTTGATTATTTGGAAATTTTACCATACAAATATGTACTGTTTATCTTCAAACATTGATCATCATCGATCAAAAACAAGTTATATTTTAATAGCTGTATTCCTTTTAGCTGCATCACACAGCCAGGTTGTTGACTTTGAAATTACAATTATGCCTAGTTTGTTTTTACATGGTATTAAGCAATTCTGCCTTAAACTATCGTATACAACTTAAGTCCTCTAATAGTAATAAACCACAAACATAAGTGTCATAAAAACGTCATTTCTAATATAAACATCTATATAAATTAGTTGTTACAGTTCATAAGACGGGTTATTTTGCAAAAAGTCGGTTACAGAACATTTCTAGTTTGGCCGGTCAGAGCTTTAAATTAGTACATATTTTCCCATAATTGAAGTTATATTAAGACGTCAAAAATTATGTATGTATGAAAAATTCGTGTCCTATGGAACAATTTTATGTTTTGGCTTAGTGTTCCTATAGGGACACCCTCATTGGGTGTTTTTCCCATTTTTTTTTTGGTCTCAGTGATGCCTAAATAGTGTTTTACTGTATAATCACGATACCTACAGAACTTTGCTTCCTCCTGGTATGTTTTTATTTATGATAAAATAGAATTGTGACACAGGCCTACAGTTATGTTGCTTCTAGGTGAAAATCATTGTTCACAGAAAACCCTTACCGTAGGCTCGCTATGGATTTCAGTGACATGTACTGGCCTAACATCACGCACAATTGTAGGCTGGACAAGTGTGCAAAACCATACAGTTGTTAGAAATACGCCTATATATTTGTAGGAAAGTCAAATTGAAATAAAAGAGATATCTCAAAACGCCGATGCTTTTTTGTACATACAACATAAAAAAAATCGTATTAACGGGATACCAGCTGAAAACCAGCTTGCTGAATTTAAGATGCTAAACGGAACAATTTAGTTGAAAATGATGAAGACAGATTTTTATAAGCCTAAATGATATAAATCATATAAAATCGAATACATTATATACTATAAACTATGATTATTAATAAAGAATTAATAATAATAATAAAGAATATCCTTCCTTATTAGGATATATTAGGCCTTAGCATGTCAATTAAATCAACAATATACCTGCCCTGCAACTGCTCGACAATCATTATTATAGGCCTAAATATAGACTGTGTATTAAACGTCTACAGCATTTAGGAAAGATATAACAGCAGTATCAGTACCAGTAATAGAACATATGACCATAAGAATGGTGAGAGTTCATCGATTAATGCCGTACGTTGCTATCATACTGTTGAATTCTTGTAACTTATTACTTGTTTGCTTCGCTCTCTTTGCTATTGAAAGCACTAAATAATACCCCTATTTAATATTACGGTTCCACCAAGCAAAGCCTACATACCCAAACCTTTGCTAATATACATAAACTTATAGGGTTTTTAAAGGATAAAATCCGAAACCTTTGCGACAATTGTGTAATGATTTTAATCAATACGTAACGCATTTTTTTCTTGATGAACCCATGTTAGTTTGTGCTCAGAACACAAATACTGATAGTTTTCTAAGTTCTTTTAGATGATTTTACAAAATAACTGAAGGTCAGCAACAACATTTCTCGTAGAGAGTTAGTATCCCAGATTTATGAACAAGTAGGCGTATCGTGTTTGCGTACGCTCAAGGTTGCCAGTAATTGCTGTATACACAGTAAACGCCATACTAGATTTGATATTAGTCTCAAATAATCTAATATTGTCGAAGTTATGTCCTCCCATGGTTCAGGTGATCAAGAAATTATTACGAATATAATTGCTACAGATATATCATCAAAATTTAACTTCAGTGAAGCTTGGGATTAAAAGTGAACACATGGGTGGCTGAGTATGTATGTAAACAGAGAATTGAAACATTAAAATCATACCGTATTTATTCGTAATAAACGCCCTCTCGAATAAACGCGCCTCCAGAGTCTCTTTTGGAATAAATGCCTTCCTCGAATAAACACCCATAGGCGTTTATTTTTTCCTCGAATAAACGCCATCTAAATGTCTGTAAGCAAACCTAATTCTCAATACATTCTATTAATATTCTACCCCAGTAGAATTACTTTTTTTCTAACCTGGTTGGGATTAACACGGGAAGTCGTTATGATAACGCAATAACAATGACGGTAATTATGTGTTGTAGTTCAACATTTACGAAGAAATTAAGGGGCATTTATTTGAGTATATACTTGCTTATTTTACACCCAATAAAGTAGTAATTAAACGCCTCGCTTGATGAATAAACGCCTCCCTCGTATAAACGCCCCTTAAAACCCTTACCAACAATAAACGCCCAGGGAAGTTTATTCGAATAAATACGGTAATATACCGTAATTCCTTTAAACTATTTAAAATACTGTATCATGAGTAATGCGAGAACTACACCACGGGTGTACAGATAATTTTGGTAGATTGGGGAGAAAAGTAGTGCTGGCAAAATTTTCCCGACAGACGGAGGTGGGCGTGGTCAGGCCTCCCGTCTCTCAGAATTCATGGAAGAGGGACCTTTTCCGCCCCTCTCCCATTGGCACCACCCCTAGGAAGAGAATAACGTTATTTTTTTACCGTTAAGTTCTCATGACTTACAATTTTACGGACATTCTGCAAGACAATACCCATCACCTAATAGCTCAATCATTTAATAAGCAATTCGAACAGAATTCCTCACCCTCTAGTTAAAACAAATATATTTAGAAATTCATTCATGCCCACGGTCATCTGCCTCTTTAATATCTTAATCACATCTCATAACCCACACTTTTCTTTAGCTATTGAATAGTTATATACTGTATTTGTCTGTTATACTGTTATGTTAGTAAGTAAGTAATCTAATTGTAGCGATGGTAGCCGCGGTATATTTGTATGTTATTATATGTAGGCCTATTGTCTTTTGCAATATGGAAAAATTATTTTAAGACAACATTATTTTGTGTTATGATAATAAAGTTACCTAGGTCTATATAAGAATCGGATTTCCTTGTTACTTGGCTCTAACTAACTTTGGTTTCCTGTGATGATGTCTCTTATGACAACGTCTAAATATCAAGACTTCCCAAGTTACTTTAACCCATACTTAAAAGACTAACCACGTCAATATGCAACAGTTCGTATTTTTGATGATAAAAAAAAAAAAAAAAAAAAAAACTATCTCGATGTACTAAAAACCACACTGTGTTGTCAATATTAATGACGACATGGGCGTCGTTTGGAAATTTACCTGTATGCTGTGATCATATTTACATAACTTAGATTCTAATCTGTAATCTTTAATAACCTACAAGGTCAATACAATGATTACTCAATGAGGCCTTAATTAAGTCATAAACTCTACACCGAGGTACTTATCGTGCTTGATGCCCAATCAAAACGACACATTTGTAATTCCAATAGGCCTGTGTATTTTTTTTATATATATTTTACTAACCTTCCGAAAAATATCATCTCGGTAGCAGTTATATAACCATAAATAAAGGTGGTATATAATCCTAAATTACAGATACCAAATATATATCAACGTTATCACCAATAGTTATATGTAATGTATAATATAATTTGATATGATATAATATTACATGATGTGGCTTAGCATGACATAACACGACATGATTTTGATACGATATGTAATATGTATATGATATGATATAATGCGTAATGATATGGTGTGATATGATAGGATATGTCATCATGTCATGACTTGATGTGATACATAGCATGACATAACACGACACGATATGATATGATAATTAATAGTATATGATAGGATTATGATATGATATGATATGA